AATGAAATTGCTTTGTTTAATATATTTATTCCTTATAAAATTCACTATCTACGTGATTTTAATAAAATAAATTTAGGGTTTATTACAATGAATGTTTATTAATAACAACTACAACTGTGTAGGTACTTAATATTAACTTATACTATAGACAACACAACGGACGTAAGATTAGGGCTTATGGGACGAGTTGAGATGAATAGTTAGGCGCTGGAGTTTATTCAGCATTTGTAGATGACATTTTCATTTGAAGGAAAATTGACAACAAATTATACTTTAAAGTCTTGGTACAGACAAGTTTCCATTGAAGATGCCGACGGCAATTGCCGACGAAACGTCGAAAACTATCCGATCATTTATCTTCAATTGGCGTACAGGTCTGACGAAGCAAGCTGGCGAGCGGTCGCGCAGGTACTTGCCCATTTATGACCTATTTGGGTAAGTCACTTGGAACCGATACACAAATAAGCTTTCAGTAGGCGTTTATTATAGTATTAATACAGATGGGACAGTAGCGTACTAGACAATAATGTAAAAACATGACTTATCAAAAAGAAAAACTAAACCTATTGCTTTTGTTTTATAGTTAGTTTTCACATTCACTCTCATCATGGGAATCTCTATCACTGTCACCAAAATCAACAATTAGTTCTTCTGGTTGTCTGTCTATTACTTGCTCACTGATCCCTATTTTTAAATATTTAATCTACGCCCCTGATAGGAATACTGAAGAATGAGGGCTGCAATCTTTATACCTAAAACTGCCTACTTTTGCCACCGCGCATCCACGCCATTTTAAAATTTCCGCCAGCTTCCAGCGTCAGGCCTGTACGTTCGTGTTCTTTTTTATAAGTATTTGTACTAAACGTCCTGCTGCAGAATGAGCACATAAATGGAAGTTCATCTACATACGGAAGAGTGTCTAAGCATGTTGGGTTTCTGAGTGAAACTTTTATTACAGAACGGACATTTGTACGGTTTATTTCCAGTGTGAATGCGCTCGTGTAATTTTTTGTTACTATTTGTAGTAAATAGCCGGTCACAGAATGAACATTTAAAAGGGCGTTCACCCGTGTGGATACGGGAGTGTGCGATCATACTGCCTTTCTGGGTGAAGCATTTATTACAGTGATAACATACGTACAGTGTTTTTCTCGAATGTGTACGTTCATGTTCTTCTTTAGCATTATTTGTACTTAATGTCCTGTTACAGAATGAACACTTGAACGGGCATTCACTCGTATTAATACGGGAGTGTGCAACCTGAGTGAAACCTTTGTTCGGGTTATTTTCCCTATGAGTGCGTTCGTGGATTTCTTTGTAACTACACGAAATAAATTTCTTGTCGCAGAATGAGCATTTAAATATTCTAATGTCAACAGTGCGACGACTTTTTTGCGGGTTATGAGTGCGTTCGTGGATTTCTTTGTAACTATGCGAAATAAATTTCTTGTCGCAGAATGAGCATTTAAATGTTTCTTCCTCATTACATCCACTAATATCAGCACCAACTTTATCCTTACTTTTCGGTTTTTTTGTTTTACGTAGTGCTTTCGTAAAATATGCTCTTGGATTCTCTATATCTATGTCGTGTTGCTTGCAATGCCCGAGAAGTTCATTCCGAGTTAAAAAAGAGTTCCTGCACATACCATGATGATGGCGGTAATCCATTTTCTTATCAATTCCTCCAGCACAATATTTATGCTCCTCGATAAAATACATTTCAATTGCCTGCACTTCTTGTTCGGGTTTCCTACAAATTGAATGATTTCACAAAACGTAGTAACATTTTATATACTTTTGGCTTTACGTACTCAAAAGGTAGATGTTGGTGATACTTATAATGTTCTTGTAACGTTTCTTGGTTTACAAAAACATCTAGGCATACTTCACATGATACTTCTTTCCGTTTTGGTGTGACCGGTATGGACTCTTTAGCGTTTTTTTCATTATCGGTCCAAGTAAAATCTCTAAAAATAGAATTGGTTAAAAGGTGACAAATTATATTAAATAAGAAAACGAAATGTGTGCTGGGACACATAGTAGAATTAAAACTTCAATGGACAAGTGGAAAATGGGAATCGCAACAAAATTTTTACTTCACGTTTTACGGGCAGACTGTTAATCTACTTGTACAATTTGAGAACCTTTCCGTAAACTTGAAGCAAAAATTTTGTTGCGATTCGTTTTTCCATTTGTTTGTTGCCATTTGTTTTTCCACTTGTCCGTTGCCATTTGTTTTTCTACTTGTCAGTTGAAGTTTCACTTCTACCATGTGTTCTAGCACACATTTTGTTTTCATAGGTTTACTGCAAACTACGATTTGGTTTTAACACAGACCGCAAATAGAGGCAATGATGCCCGGCCACATGGAGAGCAGAGGTAAGAAAACAACAGCTGAGCACAGCACACGCCGCCGGGACTCTAGCGGACTCCCTGCTCTCCGCGCTGCTGCGCATTATATCTGACTAATACTCTCCGCCGCGGCCAGCCTTTCTCTCCCTCTCATCACGCGATATACCGTCTACCCCATACACGCGGCCGTAACGGTTTTTCGTGACAGAAAAAATCGTAATATCCCGTCGTCTATATAGAAGTTTCACATTAAAAATATTTTTGACTGCCTTGCAGAAATTACGTGACATTTACGCTTCCTTCTACTGGAAGACATCTTTATCCCACTCCTGTTACTTGGGTTAGAGTTTTCTCTCTTAATATTAGTTTATTGAAGGTACCATACCTTCATTTACCAAGTGTTTTGAGATCTAACTACATTTTATTTTGAAATTCTGTGTAAAAATATCCCTTCAATGCTATAGATATTGAATTCTCTTAAGTTAAACAGAATAATACATATAAATATACACTGGCATATTTTTATTATACACTATACTTCACTCAATTTATATCACCCAGAAATAAGTGTTTATTAAAAATATAGTATAGAATTCTTTTTCTAGAAAAGTCGACAATATATGAAATTAATTGTAAAGAGCGTTGTATGAAATATGTTGGACAAACTAGGCGCCCAATTCAAATTAAATTCAAAGAGCATTTAGCAGCTGCTTATTAACTCCAGAAAATCATAGGATAAACAGTGACAATCTTAAATTAAATTAGTCAAGCAATTAGAAATAATTACCTGTTTGATAGCTTATTACAAACATTGCGTTTTGTTAACCTAAATAGAGAAATATACATATACATTTGCACATATTTTTTTTTATTAGGCTACATACAATTCAATTTATTCCATCCTAAAATAAATGCTTATCATAAACAAAACCATCATCACCTTGCACTTAAGATTAACTTTGTTAGAGACAACCCACCCTAGTCGATATAATAGAAAATAAATAAATAAAACAAAAAATGAGTAGAATTACGATTCGGCAACTGCAGATGACACTATTATTGATGGAAATGACATTCTCATTCAATTTACGTTGTGACAAGTTTTCACTGAAGAAGCAGCAGTTGCCAACGAAACGTCCGAACCTATCCGTTCATTTATTGTCAATGCGCGTACGTCCGTGTTTTGTTTTACGCCTGTTTGTACTAAATTTTCTGTCACAGAATGAACACTTGAAAGGACATTCACCAGAATCAATACTTACGGTTAATTTCCCGTGTGAGTGCGTTCGTGTAATTTTTTAGAACTGTTTCTTGTAAATGTTTTATCACAGAAGGAACACTGAAAAGGACGTTCACCAGTATGGGTGCGGAAGTGTGCAACCATACCGGTGCTCCTGGTGAAACTTTTGTTACAGTGATGACATTTGTACGGTGTCATTCCCATATGAGTGCGTTCGTGGTTTATTTTATACTTATTTATACTAAATGTCCTGTCGCAGAATGAACACTTAAAAGGACGTTCACCCGAATGGATTCGGGAGTGAGCAATTATGGCAGCTTTCGTTGTGAAATCCTTATTGCAGTTATGACATTTGTACGGTTTATCTCCCGTGTGAGTGCGTTCGTGCGATTTCTTATAATTATTTGTGGTAAATGTCCGGTCACAGAAGGAACACTTAAAAGGCTGTTCGCCCGTGTGGTTACGCAGGTGCATGACCATAGCGGTCTTATTAGTGTAGCCTTTATTGCATTGAGGACATTTATGCGGTTTATTTCCTGTGTGAGTGCGCTCGTGTTCATTCTTAACGTAATTTGAACTAAATAGTCTGTCACAGAATAAACACTTAAAAGGACGTTCACCCGTATGGGTACGAGAGTGAATAACTATATCTCTTTTTTGAGCGAATTCTTTGTCACATTGATGACATTTGTACGGTTTATTTCCCGCATGAGTGCGTTCATGTTGTTTTTTATTACTATAATCGTTAAATTTCTTATCACAGTACGAGCACTCAAATGGACGTTCACCCGTATGGGTGCGGCAGTGTCGAACCATTGCGGATCTCCGATTGAATTTTTTATTACAGTGCGGACATACGTTAGGTGCATTCGTATTATGAACGCGTTCATGGGTTTCTTTGTAACCTATGAATGGTTTCACAAAATTTTTATTTTCTTCTTCACTGTTTAATGTTTCGTCGTTTTGTAGTTTTTTGGCTTCGCTAGAAATTAAATAACATTTACAAGAAGGGCAATTAGTACATTTTTGGCAGTACTTACAAAAAAGGTAGATTATGGCGACACTTATAATGCTCTTGTAACGTTTCTTGTTTTATGAACGTATCCGAGCAGAGTTTACAAGGTGCTTCATCCCTTTTAATTACTTCAGGATAGTCAAATTTCATTTTTACTAGAGTAGGCTCTTTGATATCTATTTTTTCATCGGTCCAAATATAATCTCTACAAAAGGGAATTAGTTCGAAAAATACGATATTTTTGATTACTATGTGTCATCTACAGAACACAGCGCGATTTTCAGCAGATAAGAACGGTCTTATTTCTATTTCAGACCTGATTTCAAACTATTTATTATTTTAATACTTACAATAAGCTTCGAACAAAGAAAAAAATANTGTACGGTTTGTTACCAGTGTGAGTGTGTTCATGTTCTTTTCTAGATTTGTTCGAATGAAACTGCTTGTCACAGAATGAGCACTTAAAAGGACGTTCCCCCGTATGGGCACGACAGTGTATAACCATAGTGGTTCTGTAGGTAAAGCCTAGATTGCAGTGGTTGTATTCAATAAGTATTACGTAAGACTTAATAACTACTGATTTAAAATTATTTTATTGTGAAAAACAACATTTATCGGTAAACAACATGGAAAATTGTACTCTGCAACATATTTGTATCACTAACTACTGACACAAATCCATTAGCAGCTGAAGATAAGTTTCCAGCTGGTACTCGCTGCAAATGATAAAGATACAGCAACTGTTCCTTTAAGATTATACCTCGAAGTCTCAACAGCAACAAGTTTCCACTGAAGATATCAGTCACAGTTGCCAAAGAAACGCATTCCTATCAGGGCCTATAAGCTCTAACTTTTATTTAAACAAAATTAGTAGTATATTACGCGATAATTGTGTGATTATACGAAATAGAAATGGTACAATTAGTGTACGAAACATATTTTACAGGAAGTAAAACTTTTTTATTCGTCAATAGTACACGAATTTTCATATAAAACTGAAAAATGAAAATAACGAACGTAAAATGGGTTGTACTTATGCATACAATTCCTCAGTACAACATTTAGTAGTAGTTAAATCTTCTGTACATGTAATGCAAATATTAGAACGTTAACTGATGTAAAATTGAGTGTTCAATCAAACTATTTCGCTGACTGAAACTCCTACCACAAACAGCACATTTGTAGGATTTATATTCAGGGTGAGTGCGTTCGTGAGATTTCTGGTTAATGACTCTACAAAATTTTTTGTCACAAAATGAGCACTTAAATCGACGTTTCCTCGTATGGTTGCGGGAGTGTATAACCATAGTAGTTCTCTTACGGAAATCCTTAGTACAATAAGGACATTTGTAGGGATTATCACTGTGCCTGTTCTCGTGTATTTTTCTACTCTGATTTGTACTAAATTTCATGTCACAGAATGAGCACTTTAATAGACCTTCACCCGTATGGACACTGAGGTGTACCATCATAGCGCTTTTATCACTAAAACTTTTACTACAATGAGTACATTTAATGGGTTTATCTTCATCGTGCGAATATTCGTGATCTTCTCTTTGCCAGTTTGTAATAAATTTCCGGTTTGGTTCGCTAAAAATTGAACAATATTCAACAACGTATGACAAACATTTAAAATATTCTTTAATCTACTTACGGAAGATATAGTTGTTCGTTACACTTATGTTGTCGTAATGTTTCTTGGCTTATGAACATATTCCAACATATTTCGCATTGTATTTCTTCCCATTTATGTTCCTCAGAATCTTCAAATTCAGTTTTGACTAGTAAAGGATCTTTGACATCTAATTCTTCATAGGGCCAAACATTATCTCTAAAAAGAGAATTGGTGAAAAATGAGAAATACATATCCGATTCTGTTGTAGACACCATGAGATATTTGTATAACACAACGCGTTCTTTTGAATTAACTCATTTTTCTCCCATTCCAGTTATTTACCTTAGAATTTTCTCATAATTCTAATTCATATTTTATACACCTATGACTTACTTTTGGTTACCTTTTTTACTCACAAACTCCCAGTAAAAGATATTTCTAATACCATTAACATTGAGTTTCCTTAACGTAATAACAACAGTAAGAATGGTCTTGTTCTATTACAGACCCGCTTTCAAATGATTTACTGGTCCAAATGTTGTGATTTGAATAAAATAAACTTTTGCGTTTTGTTTTTGCATATTTTTATTTTCAGCTATACGCAATCGAATCTATTCGATTAAATGAATGCTTATTAATAACAAAAATAACTACATATTTAGTATTTACTTTATTAGAGGCAACTGAGTAGAAGCAATTTTAGAACATATAATAACAAAAAATACATTTATAGCTAAAATCAATAGTAGAATTAAGATTCGAGCTTACCGGCCTAGGCTTTTCGTCAACATTTCCGAATGTCATTTTACGATCAATTGAAACCAAGTGGAAATTATACCTTAAAGTCTCGGAAGCAACAAGTTTCCACTGAAGATGTCAGTCGCAGTTACTAATATTAAGGTTCTCGTTACGCACAGTTAACAGTTTAGAATGTTACCTCAAAAAATAGACGAGGTATGACATAATTTATGTTCAAGAATACAAGGAAGAATTTCTTCCTTTGATAGTTTGTTTCATTTATTATACACTTATCGCTTACTTCTGATTAACTTTTCATTTAAAAATTCTCGTCAAAGTATCTTTTTAATACTATCGACGTTGCGTTTCGTCCAAGTAAACAGAACAATACAAAAAAAAAGATAAATAATCGTATATTTTTATTTGAAACTATACACAAGTCAGTTTACTTCTTTCTGAAACGAATGCTTATTAAAAATAAAAAAAAAAAATAAACATTTAAT